CCCGAGTCGCCAGGTTCATAGCGCAGCGCGCTAACCGCTACACTACCGCTCTCCCACATCCCACCGCTCCCACACACACGCACACAGCCACCACACACACACACAGCCACACACACTCTCACACACGTGTGTGTGTGTCTGGAGCCCATGTTCGAAAACCCACAACAGGCACGCGGCGACTCAAGCGAGCGACTCGATGATGACCGCGTGGGCGTAAATTTACACGATGTAACACAATTTTTTTGTTCCTGGGTACGATGTGTTATTTTTTAATTGCTTATGCCTAAAAAGTATAGAAAATGGCTATTATTCCCCACGAACTTTTATTTTTGCGACCAGGACTTTGTGAAGGAATGACACAAATGCACACCACGTTTTCTCATTGAAAATAAGTACATTTGAGAATATCAATGTTCTGGTCACAAAAGCAAAGATTCTGGGGAGTAATAGCCATTTTCTGTACTTGTGAGGCATCATCAATTAGGAAATAATACTTATTATCCAGGAACAATATTTTTGTTTGTTTTGTTAAACAGTGTTATATATCAAACTAGCAGCAAGTATACCCGGCATTGCCCTGGCGAAAAAGGCAGACGCACACATGGACTTACACACAACCCACACACATACAGTGAGGGAAAAAAGTATTTTATCCCCTGCTGATTTTGTACGTTTGCCCACTGACAAAGAAATTATCAGTCTATAATTTTAATGGTAGGTTTATTTGAACAGTGAGAGACAGAATAACAACAACATCCAGAAAAACGCATGTCAAAAATGTAATAAATTGATTTGCATTTTAATGAGGGAAATAAGAATTTGACCCCTCTGTAAAACGTGACTTAGTCCTTGGTGGCAAAACCCTTGTTGGCAACCACAGAAGTCAGACGTTTCTTGTAGTTGGCCACCAGGTTTGCACACATCTCAGGAGGGATTTTGTCCCACTCCTCTTTGCAGATCTTCTCCAAGTCATTAAGGTTTCGAGGCTGACGTTTGGCAACTCGAACCTTCAGCTCCCTCCACAGATTTTCTATGGGATTAAGGTTTGGAGCCTGGCTAGGCCACTCCAGGACCTTAATGTGCTTCTTCTTGAGCCACTCCTTTGTTGCCTTGGCCGTGTGTTTTGGGTCATTGTCATGCTGGAATACCCATCCACGACCCATTTTCAATGCCCTGGCTGAGGGAAGGAGGTTCTCACCCAAGATTTGACGGTACATGGCCTCGTCCATCGTCCCTTTGATGCGGTGAAGTTATCCTGTCCCCTTAGCAGAAAAACACCCCAAAGCATAATGTTTCCACCTCCATATTTGACGGTGGGGAAGGTGTTCTTGGGGACATAGGCAGCATTCCTCCTCCTCCAAACACGGCGAGTTGAGTTGATGCCAAAGAGCTCCATTTTGGTCTCATCTGACCACAACACTTTCACCCAGTTGTCCTCTGAATCATTCAGATGTTCATTGGCAAACTTCAGACGGGCATTCGTATGTGCTTTATTGAGCAGGAAGACCTTGCGGGCGCTGCAGGATTTCAGTCCTTCACGGCGTAGTGTGTTACCAATTGTTTTCTTGGTGACTATGGTCCCAGCTGCCTTGAGATCATTAACGAGATCCTCCCGTGTAGTTCTGGGCTGATTTCTCACCGTTCTCATTATCATTGCAACTCCACGAGGTAAGATCTTGCATGGAGCCCCAGGCCGAGGGAGATTGACAGTCATTTTGTGTTTCTTCCATTTGCGAATAATCGCACCAACTGTTGTCACCTTTACACTATGAGACCTCCTTTGCCAGTAGCAAGATATAGTAATAGGTTTTTACCATTTTATCTGGCACAAAAACTGACACCTTTATACAAGGGATCATGTTTGCAATAACCACAACACAAGCAGTCAAAATGCAAACAAAAAGAGACAACTCTGATAATGATATGCACTGTCCTTGAAATTGATTGGTCCACACCCGAGACAGCTTTTCTTAGAGCCTCGTCTCCACTGGTGTTGGACCAGAAGACGCCAAAAGGCGTACAACTCAAAAACAGCGCACTATCAGAGTATTGAGAGCTGTCTCGGGTGTGGACCAATCAATTTCAAGGACAGTGCATATCATTATCAGAGTTGTCTCTTTTTGTTTGCATTTTGACTGCTTGTGTTGTGGTTATTGCAAACATGATCCCTTGTATAAAGGTGTCAGTTTTTGTGCCAGATTAAAGGGTAAAAACCTATTACTACTACTGTTGTCACCTTCTCACCAAGCTGCTTGGCAATGGTCTTGTAGCCCATTCCAGCCTTGTGTAGGTCTACAATCTTGTCCCTGACATCCTTGGAGAGCTCTTTGGTCTTGGCCATGGTGGAGAGTTTGGGATCTGATTGATTGCTTCTGTGGACAGGTGCCTTTTATACAGGTAACAAGCTGAGATTAGGAGCACTCCCTTTAAGAGTGTGCTCCTTATCTCAGCTCGTTACCTGTATAGAAGACACCTGGGTGCCAGAAATCTTTCTGATTGAGAGGGGGTCAAATACTTATTTCCCTCATTAAAATGCAAATCAATTTATAAAATTTTTGACATGCGTTTTTCTGGATTTTTGTTGTTATTCTGTCTCTCACTGTTCAAATAAACCTACCATTAAAATTATAGACTGATCATTTCTTTGTCAGTGGGCAAACGTTCAAAATCAGCAGGGGACCAAATACTTTTTTTCCCTCACTGCAGAAACACATCGACTTACACGCACACACACATATGGACTCACACACACAGACATCGACTTTAGACACACATGTAGTTACGCATACAAATCGACTCACACAGACTTACACATATCGACTCATGCATACATAGACTGAACAACAACCGTCATCGCCACTAAGTGGCGGTGACGTGATCACAACGCTTGTGTCAGGCTATGCGCACCTTGAGGCCACGTGAAGTGTCGAATGCCCGCTGGCAGGATGTCACGGGGCAGACCCAGATGCCACAGGCCTACTTACTGAGACGACTGGTTGATGCACCACCTGTGATCTGCTTTTCAACGCAGCGGCGGCGGAATCCGGCACACAACACGCAGAACGGATTTGGTGGACTGCTCTAATTTGTAGACGCTTTTGTGCGCCCCACCGGGGGGGGGGGGGATGATTGATTTTGGTTTGGTGAACTTCCCATCGCGTGTAAACCGCGTTGGAAGGGATGCCTCGGAATTGGCAACCACTGTCAATGCACCTTTTTAATTCAGTTCCTCCTGCCCGATGGGATGAACCAAGAGGTGTGGCGGCGGGGGGGGCGATACGTGACCCCTAATTGCCGCCGCTCGCTATTTCACTCCCAACTGTTGTGGGGGTGGGGGGGTGCACGCTGATCGATATGTTGGTATTTGAGCACATTTCAGCCCTTTTAACGGCCCGTCGCGCTTGCAATGTAGCCGTTTGTCATACATTACACGGCGGAAACCGCGGGGGACGGTTGACTTTCATGCGTCTGTGATTGGAAAATCGATACAAATTGCCACCGTGCGAGACGCATATTGCATTGCCAACGTTCGCTGATGTACAGAGTTAATTATCAACTGGGAGCGGTAGAAAAAAAAGGCCATTGGACGCGTTTCTAATTTGGAGGGGCTACGAGCGGTCGTATTTTTCCTTCCCACATCTTTCTGCTCCTCTTGTGCGTGTGCTTGCTGAGGATACATTCTCGTATGTAGACACACACACACGTATATAGTACAGTATATGCATTATCTAAAAGCTGTCTTGTCCATCGTGCACGCGAACGAAGTCTTGCGTTTTTCCTGTTCACGTTTTCCAGGCCAAGTCACCTTCTGCATATCATTTGTTTCTGGCACGCACGTGTTTGTTCGTTTGTCCCCACCCCCGCCCTCCCCCCGCGGCTGTTGAATTGCCCTCTTCAGCTGGAGAAAGTACTTGAGTTTATCTTGTGTTGTTGCTGCTGCTGCTGCCCTTAGGTTGTGCGAATATCCCCCAAGTGTAGAGAGAGAGGGAGATCGGGCCCAACACACATTGCCCGAAAGGGCGCAAGTGGCAGCAAGTAGAAAAAGTATGGTTACGCTCCGCTGATGAGTCCCAAGGCGAATGATAAAATCCGTATGCTGCTCAAAGTCTTTGGTTCTTCCCAAATGAAAAATAGGCCACGATCACCGCCGCTGTGAAGCAGGTGGTCATCGCAAGCAAGGATGCGTGGCAGAATACGTGATTTCAAGCTTTCGTGACTGCACGAATTCATATTCTTTGGGTCTTTCGGTAAAGTCACGTTGATATGTTCAAGGACTTTACCGCATACGTGATACCAACCACCCTGACGTGCACAGCAATGCTGCGGGATTCCTGTTATCTTTTTACCCCCCAAAAAAACACGTATCAATAATATATGCGCTCTCGCATGCGCTAACGCATTTGAGCAAGAAACGCTGATAATGATTCAACACGCAGTGAACTTACGCACACATGTGCGGTGTGTGTGTGTGCATGAGCAGTAGTGGTGGAACAGTCGTGTCGCGGTGAGCGCGCTGCACTAGGGTGACGATTATTTGAACGGGTCCTGGGCCTCGCCTACGTTGACTCAGCCTCGAATGAATACCTGGTTCCGATGTGTGAACATCGCCACTTGGGAGACAAAGGCAGCCGGGCGTGTTGCTGGCCACCCACTACCTCGTGTGCTGTGCCCCGCCTTCATATGTGCTTGCTAACAGCACTTGCTCCAACAGTCTGTTAATGCTTTACGGGGGATCTTTCTCTTTGTGCACAAACGGGGAAGAAGGCGCGTGCGTGTGCTGTGTGCGCGCGCGTGTGTGAACTAGCGGAGAAGAAGAGGCGAGCAACCGTTAATTCTCAACACTTAATTGCAGGGAGTGTATTCGACATCCGAGGGGATTTTTTTTTTCTCTTTGACCTTTCCGTCGGCAGCGCTGAATATACAGTAATTGCACGCAGCCCCGCTCGCTCACGGGCGGCTTAGCAGAGGAACAAAAAAACACGACCTCGCCACCGAACGGGTCTCTCGACACTGATTTGATTTATTTATTGAAGAGACAAAGATTCAGCGGAACTTACAAGAACCACCGGTCCCAACGAAAATGCAGTCAGCATGATTGATCGCTCGTCACAAACAACGGGGAGCTAACGCGCAATTAATAATAACAATCGTACGTGTAAAAAAAAAACGAAGCTCAAAAAAGGTACCGTAAAAAAAATGACAACGCAAATATAGAAGAAGCATTCTCGTGTTTTTTTGTTTGTTTGTTCTGTTTACCACCGACACATGCACAGTCACGCACACGAGCACAAACGTGCACACGCACACGAGCAACGCACGCACGGCGATCTCCTTGGCCAAGGTGACACCACGGGCGATTATTCCCAGCGCACCTTACCCTTGCGTGAGGCCCTCACGTGTGCAAATGCGTGTATATTTACACGACCGAATGTAAAACTGTATTTACATGAAAGTGAACTGATAGCTAAAACGCCTCGGGCTGACAACGAATACATAAATGATGCATAGAGACTTTACTTACTGGAGTTTATTTTTTTTCTTTTGATATTCAGCCCGACTGAAATAATTCCCCCATTCCCTGCAACCGTATGATATAATACGATGCAGTTAATGTAATATCAGATGTGCCTGTGATATGCTGCTACTGCAGCCTAAAATGCTAAAGTGAGCATTATTGACATACAAATAAATAACACTGATCAATTCAATGAAATTGCTGCCATTCGTCAACAACTTGCGTACCGGTCTGCACAACAGATATATTAACAGTAACCAAAACTGTTTCTGTTCAATTCACCTTATTTGTATGGGGGGAAAAAAGTACGATACAAAAAATATATATACGTCGAAATCAAGTACGCGCGTTACTATACAATATAGTGGTGACGTAGTGTGTACACAGAGTGATAGGAAAATTAATATAGTATCGGGGTGTGTGGATTGACTATACAGATTTCCGTGCCTGCAAAACATCGTTGTTGCACAAAACGCTTTTGTGTCCGTAGGTACGTATGTATGTATGTACATTCGAGCGAAGCTTAATTGGGCCTACGGCTCTGCACCGTCTGGCTGGCTCAGCCCAACCCGAGGTCAAAGCACAGACGAAAGAGAGAGGAGCGGTCCCATTCGGAGCAACAGTGAAAAATATCTGTAATTGCTCGTTCCCCCTAAAGGGCTTGGCACTACTTTCAGATACAATCCCGTGCAGCAAATCTGCAATAATACACCTCGACATTTGTGGGGTCGGGGGGTGTTTTTCTATTTTTTTGTGCTGAAAGAAATAAAGACATAGGCAAATGAAACCTCAATCATTTTATCGTTACGAGGTTTTCTCAAATATATATATATATTTTTTAAAAACAACTCCCAATTCAAAGTGTCCGCCTCTGTGCAGAGTGTGTTGGGGAGCGTTGGAAAGTGGCTGAATTCTATGCCCGAACGGTATTTACAACGGCGTTTAAGTCTTCACAAAAAAAAAAACACAATATGAAAAGCCATTTCAAGTACAACAGGGATTCCTTTTGTTCATTTATATAATAATAATCATAATGAAAAAATAGTTGGTCAGCAACCAGGCTCTGCAGGAGGGGGCGGCGGGGGGGGGGGGGGGGGGGAGCCGCCAGGCATTGGGGGTAAAAAAAAAAACGGGTCCAGCCAATGCCCCCCACCGCCCTACAGCTGCATGCAAGTGTAGGATTGTTCATGGGAGTAAATAGGTACTCCATGTGCGCACTGTGCGAAGATCCGCACAAAATATACACCGTTCTTTGTTTAATTTAAAGCTTTCTTTTTGAAATGGTCATTGTCACGTGCTAACCGGTGGGAGAGATGTGTATGTTGCGCGCTGCACACGGCACGTGTGTGCTGTACGATTGAATGAAGGCACTGTCATGGTTTTACACATCAACATCTGAGTGGGTTAGGTAAGGGGGGCGGGGGGGAGCTTCTGAAATCTCCCAAAAATGTTGGGTTGGCTACGGCCGTAAAACTGCAGGCTTAACATAGCAGCAGGCTTCTATTTATTGAGAGATATAGGGCCTTGTTTGGAATGTTTGCTTACTTATACAGCAAGCAGTGCTTGTTTGTTTTCTGTACTGGTAAAGAGTACCGCGCTCATGGCCAACGTCGCTCTCGTGCCTTCTAACAATAATCGTGCAGCGTGGTATATATATATTTTTTTGGAACCATCATTTCCAAGCCAGTAACATTTTTTTCTCGAGGTGGGGGGGGGGTGGGGGGGGGGATGGGGGGGAGGGGGGAAATCAACAGCGGCCGGACTACGGACAGACCGGCGGCCTCCGTCGCAGGAATGTAAAAATTCCACCACGAGCATAAAAGTCCCACTCCTCGTTCGGAGCCGGGTGGCGCTTAGATTCCCGCCTCGATGCTTCGCGCGACTCTCGCCCAATAACCCTGCCCATTGCCCCTCTCACCACCCTGCTCAATGTGCAGCAGCAACCCCCCCCCCGACCCCTCCCCCCCCCCCGCCGCCCCCCCCCCACCCCACCCGTGTGGACGCCGTTTTCTGAGCTTCCTTCCACCCCACGGCCGCCACCCCCTCCAAACGAACAAACAAAAAAAAACCCAACCCAACAACCCCTCCGCGAGGACGTTGGGTGTGCCGTTGCACCGCGCGGCGCCGCCTCCGTCATACGTGGGTCTGCATGCGCTGCTGCAGTGGGCGCGCCGTGAAGTCGGAGTGCTGCGACGCGTACGAGAAGCGGGACGACAGCGAGTGCTTGCTCGCCTGGTCCAGCGTGTCGCCGGCGCCCTCGAACGCCGGCACGCGCCCGTAGGCGTACACGCCGACCCCGCTGCCGGCGACGCCGCCGGCGCTTCCGCCCACGCCGAACGGGCCGGCCGCGCCGGCCGCGGCCGCCGCGGCCGTGGAGGAGGAGGAGCAGGAGGAGGCCGGGGCGTAGACGGAGCCGCCGTAGACGCCCGTCTGGGCGTGAGCGGCGAAAGGCGGCCGCACCGCCACTCCGCCGGAGCCGAGGCCCGCGGCGGCGGCGGCGGCGGCGGCGGCGACGGCGCCGTCCGGCTGCTGCTGCTGCTGAGGGGGCGGCTCGAAGCCGCCCGCCTGCTCGTAGTCGTAGGGGCGCCCAGGGTACGCGCCCAGGTGGGCGTACCCGCTGGCGTGCGAGAGACGCGAGGGGGGACGCGGCTCGTAGAGGGGTCGTGCCAGCGGGCGGAACTCGGAGAAGGCGTTGCGAGTGGTCGACTGCTCCTCGTGCGCCCGCACGTTGTAGTAGCCGTTTGTCGGGTCCTGGTGAAAGTGGGAGGGGGGGGGGGTAATTTTTTGAAGGGGATGAGAATTTTTTGTTGGAGGGAATGGGGGTGGGGGATATTGCGATGAAATAGTTAAATTAATTTAAAAGCCATTATAGCTTAATTTACAGCATTCAAGCTTCATTGGGTCAATGGTGAATTTTAATTATTGGTTTTAGGATGTAGTTTGACAGTTTTGGGAAAAAAATTGTGGCAGGATAATACCCCTCCGAGAGTCGCTTCATGCAACAAATTAGAGCATTAGAAAGCGTTTAGTGCTTTCAAAATAAATGTATGCATTTGAAAGAAGAAGCATTTTTACTGCCAAGTTGTGTGTTAGAAAATAGATTGAAAATGGGACCAAAGGAAATAAAGAAATAATGTATGACGATGAAGTAATGTCATGACAACAAGTGAATCTCCGCAGCTAATTGGAATGTTTTTTACTTAAGTAAGTTTTTTTTTCATGCCTTGGACTCAAACTATTCATTGAAATTTAAAGGAACAGAAGCCAGGCCCTGCACTGAATGTGAAAAGCGATCGGGAATACATTAAAATGTTTTTGACTCGTAATGCGTGGCAGCTTAGGCATCGTAAAGTGCCCCCACAGAAGGTTGGGTCCAGCAATTAATTACCCGCATCAAAATTGTTCCATGTCGGCCTCTTTGCAAAAGGCAGGCTGATAGCTAGAAAATATAAATGTAGAAGTATATTTGTAGCACAACCAAATTGCACGAATCCCTCATTTGCCAGTTCAGTGGTGTCCTTCCTCAACGTTCTGGCACGCACCTTGAGGTCCTTGTAGTCGGCTTCATCCTGGCTCACGCTGGGTTCTGTCGTTTGCTCGGTTTTGGTGTCGGTCTCATCGGAGTACGCCTGGCATGCACGAATGAATATCAGCACCATTACAAACACACACACACACACACGCGCGCATGAGCGGGGCGTGCGAGCATGCAGACATACCCACGATTGTGCATGCCTGCCTCGTCCTGCAGGTTAATTATCTGTTTAATGCTTTGGACCATATAATCTAAGAAGTTGCCCACCTTGTTAATTTCCCGCACCAACAATGCTCTGCTTCACTTTATATGCCGCATGCATGGGTTATTAAGCACCCTCTGAACAACAGCAAAAAAAAAATCACAAACTAATTTCCTTTTAATAGGAGGTTGTACAAATCTTTCCACGGCTAAGAAGCAAATTAAAATCCATGGGTGTTGTTCGTCTTTACCGGGTAGTAGTTGAACTTCTGGTCGCCATTCATGACCGGCAGCTTTATGTCTTCCTCGGACATCTCCTTGCGAATTTGGTCAAAATCCTTGTGGACGATCTCCACCTTGGGGTCGTGCTTGCAGATCTTGATGTCCTTCTTGGCTGTGACGCACAGAATGCAGGCAGTGCAAACTACTTTGGGTTTTAAATGGAATATTACAGGACGAATTTGAACAAGAACATTTTGACGTTCAAATAGCTCACCAGTAACCGTGTCACTTTGCACCTGTGACCCGACACCTACACAAGCTTCGAGTCTCTATGTAAGTTGCGATCGCTTGGTCAAATGTAATATGACACCGTGGTCGCTTATTACATTGGTAACTATTTGATTTTCAAGCTGGCTGATGAGCTCATCAATGACTCTACAGCTATGGGACGTCAATATGCACCGATGGGAACATGTATGGGCGCCACGATGGCGAGATGGTAACTGCCTCGCCTGGTATACCCTGAAGACTGTATATTTGGAGTTTGCATGTTCTCCCTGTGGTCACATTGGTCTTTTTTCTCCGGGCCACCCAGTTTTTACCTCAACATTTATAAACATGCATTTAGAGTATTTGGGTGCAATGCATTTCTACATAAGCCACTTCATTGAGCTATCATTTGTGGCCCGGTTGCTTCTGAAAAAGAGCAATACAGCTCAGTCGGTCTTATCCGGTAAAAAAAAAGAAGTTTAGTTTAGGTTAGAGACAACTGGCCTTACTGATTGATCATTTTTATTCTTAATTATTTGAGTACACACATATATGAATCAATTGCTCCTCTTTGCTAATTATACATCAAGCAAAAAAAATATATCTGATTTGCCCTGGTCAGCTTCATATTCTATTTATACAATTATAAAAACATTAACGTCTTTAAGCTTGGCAGGAATATGTTCATAGAATGCTGCCTTTGGTGTTGTGAGTTCAAAGCGAATAAACGTGTGAGGACATTAATAAAATGTAAGTTAGGGCGACCTCTCCTTTCATAGCCTTGCAAGGCTCACTCCCAGAAGAGGATTTTCACTGTAGTATTAGCATTTAATACTGTAGATTATATTCACGACCGATTTAAGTGATCTGGCCTCACTGTTAATATTGAGCCCGCTCAATCGGGCCGAGTCAGCATTTCAAGAGCACCGATTCCCCACACTTGGCAACTGTCCCCGTGCAGAAAAAGGTGGCAGTGGGAATTAGTCTCCCGGTCGGAGAGCAATGATCATTATTATGCGAGTACATTATGTGGGTAAGTTTTATAACTTTCAAACATTTGAACCAGATTAATAATATATGGGTTTTTTAGTTAAGGGGGGGGATGCAAACTGGGAGAACCCAAGGAAAACTCATGCATGGGGGCAAGAACATACAAACTCCACACAACAGAAAGGCCACGCTTCTTGGTCGACCATAATCAGACATGGGACAACCACAACCTTGGCATGGGAAATAACGTAAGCATGGGCCGATAATATCATTCGGACGAGATGGCATACTTCTAGGATACTACAAAATACCCTGTCCAGAGTGGTTATCTAGCTCCGTGGCGAGGGGGGGGGGGGATTTCGCAGCCGCTCGTGGTCACTGGGCTTGGGGTTTGCGTGTTGAGCATCACTTCTCTCAACATTTTATTCAACTCCTCGCGAAGATGCCGCACAGCAGTGCAAAAGCTTTCCCTTTTTTTTTTTACACTTTGTGGCGGTGCTGAGAAGCGCGCGGCAAGTAAAAAGTCTTTGTTTGGTCAACATGGGCCCCTGGCCCTGGTGCAGCAGAGTTTGCTCCAGTTGGGGATGGGGTTAGCATATTGCACTGGGCAAAAACTTACTTCTGCGTCGCTGACGGCAGCAAAAGATGATGACTGCGACGGCGGCGATGATTAGCACGACAGCAGCGCTCACGCCGGCGCCAATCACGATGCCCTGCGACAGCACCTCTGGCGAGCGCAACGTAGAAGGGGCAGCAGCACTGTCATCGACTGAAGTGTAGTCAGTAAAATAAAATAAAGAAGAAACGACGGTGCTGGTCGTTTGTTCTGGAGTCTTGTCATCGGGGCAAACTTTTTTGTTTCTTTGAAAGAAATTATATAATTGTGATGCTTTGTGATCGCTGGGCCCCCTTCGGACGATTTCACGCGCACAACACTCAAACGCATTATCAAGGCAAGACTCCCCAAGGCAGCTCAGGTCAGATGGCCATGGCAACGGTGGGCCTGCGAGGGCCAATTAGGCATGTGAAGAGCCTGCAAGTGGGTGGCGGAGCCGACGCCGCAACTTTGTCTCTCTTCCCATTGGTGATTGTAACATTTCACCGTGGTTTTTTTTTGTCGTTGTTCAGATTTTTGACTGACCAAGGTTGAAAGCCTCTGTCCGTCTGGCTGCGGTGGGGCCGATAACTCTTGTAAAGACGACCTTATGTAGATAGTTCAGAGGTTACCATAGAGTTGTGTTGCTATTACGAACCTACCTTCAGGACGACCAGCCATATTTATCAAACATGTTGGCCAATTCCGCTCATCACGAATTACACGGGCCTCTTGGACCATTGCACGAGGCCAACCCAGCCGTGGCCCATGAGGTCACATGCCAGCATACGTCCGAGCGCAAATTCACGTGGCAAGAATCTACGGAGAGGCGTCATTTCTTCCTTCCCCATTGGGATGACTCCGCCCAGGGGTACAAGTTGAGGCGTGGCCTATCATGGTTTCACAGCTGTGAATTGACCCTGGGTCACTTGGAATCATCGTGCCGTTCTCACACGCGGGGCCCACCGCAGCGTCCAAAACTGACACGCGATATACAAATGCTTCGCGACGCAACAAAAAAACAAAACAAACAAAAAACAGCCCGTGCCTTTCTCGCGCAGCGTGAATATCTCTGTGTCGGAGCCGAAGCCGTTCCAGGCCGTGCAGTTGTAGGCGGTCTGGAAGTCCCCCTCCATGACGTTGGTGATGGTGAGCGTGGAGAGAACCCCGTCCACGCGGCTCACCGTCTCCACCGTGTAGCGCTCGTAGGTGCCGACCTCCAACACGTTCTCCTTCCACGCCCACGCCTGCCGCGTCCCACGTGGCAAAGTGGTGGGGGCGGTGGGGTGGGGGTGTAAAAGAGAGTTTCATTAGGAGCAGGAATGGGAGTTTGTTAACTCGCCTGTGATCCGTTGCTGTCTCTGTGAAACGCCTTTCGAGAATGACTGTGCCTCTTGCTTTGCTGTAAAGTTCTCTTTCATTTCCACATCACGACTGGGAATTACAGAAAAATATGCCCTACACGTGTCCCTTCTATAATTTTACTGTACTCCACTGGCCCTTTTGTTCGTTGATTTGGTTGCATGAAAATGAATATTTTTTTTATTTTAAAGGAACCCGTTTTCCTCTTGCAAGATGTCATCTACAAGGAATATCTAGAGTGTTCTCTAATTAGAGGTTCTTCTGCCAGCAGTGATGTGGGAAAGTAATTGCAGGGCTGGGCCATTATCTAAAAGCCTTTTATAGGGTCCGTTCACTGTGACGTGACATGACGATTCTCATCTCTTATCTGAGCTCAGTGGTATCAGCTTTGTCACCACCGACTGCACAACAACCCTTCACACCATATAAGTAGATAAATGTTTTTTCAATTGTTTAACTTAGCTACGTCTGATGGCTGAAATATATTTATATATGTACATAGAATTACTGACATGTGAAAATGGACAGATTACACACCATGAAAGAGCCTTTTCTAGAGGTGGGTTAATTTATAGCCCTTAGTCAAGACACGACTAAACACATTTTTTTACCAGGTAAGTCCCACTGTACTATATTGTTTTTTTTCAGAAGTGACCTGGCCACAAATCATAGCTAAAAAAAAAGTGGCTTATCATGTGGAAATTTCTAGCAGGCAAATACTCTAAACACACATTTCTAAATGTTTAGGTAAAAACTGCAGGACCGGATACAAATCTATGTGACCATGGGGAGAACATGCAAACTCCAAATATACAAACAGGGCCGGGATCGAACCCACGACCTCCTGTATACCAGGCGTGGTAGTTAACATCTCGCCACTGCGGTGCCACTGACAGATCATAACATCCCGCCACTGATGGATGAAGGTTCTTCCCACACCGTGTAGGTCATCAGGGGTTGCATAACCGTTCTTCACCATACTGGTGTTGGCTGGTGATGGTGAGGCCCAGGACCAATTAGGATATCACGTGCCACCGACATTAGCCTTGGACCGGAATCTAACTTGGATCCCTGGGTTCAGAGGTCGAGTGAATGTGACTGCAGAAGACGCGAGGTGCATTGTGCCAGACCAGTAGTGAGCAAGTACACTTGACGCAGGATCGCGCCAAGTGCCGTTACAAACAAAAATGCCATCTGCTCCGAGTCTTAAATTACGATATTTTTATTGCCCGAATGACAAGAAAAAAATTAGTTTTGGTTTTACATTTAAATGACGGCCGTGTTGGTGGCGCGAACGCGAGCCAACAATTTGAGGTCCGTTAACGACGGCACGAACGCCGACATCGTTTGTCACCGCGGAAACTTGCCCACATTTCGTTAAGGTGTTCGCGAATGTAGCTGTTGCCTGTGGCGACGGGTCGGTCAAGGAGGACGCTTTTCTCGGCAAAGCTCCTAGGGTCAAAGTAATCTCCCGCCACTCGGCAGGCTGCTATGTTTCATAAGATGTGAGGCCAAGAATGCAAGGCATTATTTTGTCGAGACTACTGCACCCCGATGCACTCACGATGCGGTCCGGAGGTGGTGTGCTGCCGATGAAGCACTCCACCCGGCCTTTCTCTCCGCGCAGCGCGTGCTGCAGAAGGTCACTGGATATTATGGGTGGCCCTGGCATAGGGAGACAAAACAAATGTTTGAACAGGGGTTATGGTTGTCGCCAGTCGTGGAGTCATTGTCTTGTGCATTTGCCCTTCATGAATGCCGTTTGTGCGTGCGCACGCACGTGTGTGTATGTATGCGTGCGGGGAGCGGTGGCGCAGATGCGCTTACGCTCCAAACACGGCGACCCCCAGGGTCAGATTCCCGCTCACGGTGTAAGATCGGTGCCGAATATCTGAACCGGTCCTGTGCCCTCCCTTAGTTCGACTCGGCATTCAATTGAGTGCCTAGTGCAGGTATATAAACATCAGCACTAGGGAGACAGAGACAATCAGGCGTGGTGTTGGCCAACTACCCCCTCGTGTGTCGTGATGGCCTTAATAAGTGCTCGCTAACAGGGTCTTTGCCAACCAGTCTGTTAAGGCTATACTTTATTGTGCGCGTGCGCTTTAATATTGTCGTGTAACGTACCATTAACGTTCAGCATGACTTCTTTCTCGCCGACGCCAATGCGTGGAACAATGGCCTTGCACACATAGCGTCCAGTGTCGTCTTGAGTCACGCCTTTCAGGAGCAGCATGTTGCTGTTACTCAACACCTGCAGGGTACACACAAAGACCCCCCCCCCCCACCCCGCCATAGCCTTAACAAACTGTTGGGGCAAGCGCTGTTCGCAAGTAGCACACACACATTCACAAACAGAGAAATGCACTTGCCATCAGCTGTTGATGCACTCCCAGAAAAACAGGGATGCATAAATGTTTTGTGCATGCAGACTTTTCTGGATCATGTCTTTACAAAACCGTTGGGTGTATACTCGTGAAGAAAGGCGCGCGATCATCCAAATTAGGTTCATTGTAAGGAAGTCACGCTTAAATGGGCTGAACATTAAAGCTAAAATAACTCGACAAAGAAAGGATCCTGAAAGGATCCTGTTAATAATAATATATTATACATTTAAATTGGATATTATAAGAAAAAAATGTACTTTAAATAACTGGTCGAATTTTTTTTATAGTTTAAATTACACTTTGCTACAGCCAGTGGCTGTTCCCTCTATAGAAAGACCACTTAAGAACTGTCACAAAGTGATAGTCATTGTATTATCCGCTGAATGATGGATGATGGACTGAGCCAAAGCACAACTGTGATCTGCTCTAACCACAGCAGCACCACACGTGCCCTCATTCGTCACGCGTTTGACTGCACTTGCGATGTTCATACGTGCTGCACTGCCTTCATTGTTCCTGCCCTTGACTCTGTTCGCATGTATTTGATATTGTACGAAAGTATTTTGTATAAATACTCCTTGGTTCTTTCGATAAAGTCACGTAGGTAGAAAAAAATAATAGATCGCGACGTTTCTTCGATCGCAACGCAAGCAATCGCCATCAAACAATTCGTTAATGTTTGCGCATGAGTCCATTGTGCGTTTGCTCTGCACGTGTCACTTGACACCCAGGTCACGAGACGTTCCATCGACAGGGGATTGCCCACGAGAAATATTACAATCAATAAATTAGTAAAACATTATTATAGAAATAATAATTATAATAATCATCAACGTGGCCAATACTTAATGCTGATAAAGAAAATAAACGGAACGAATGAATACATTAATAATGGGCCAATAAAATTACGATTGGCGTGGTTGTAACAAAAGCCAACACAAAGTGTGACGTTGCCGCCGTGTGGATTGCCGCAGCGCGCCGGCCAAAGCGTGCGAACACGAGCGGAGGAGAGCACGGAGGAACGGAATTGCGCTCCGTGTGCCACGGTCCCGGCTGCATTGCGCACGCGGGCGCACATTTTTACCCTCTGCAGCGGTGGTAGCTTTCTGGGTGGCCATCGAACAGAGATGGTCACTGCATCGCACGCTTTTTGGATGCACTCCAGCATCGGCAGTCCAGAAGGCTCTTCCATTCCGATATTAGGAAGCCGCTGGAGCCGTGCGCTTTAAAATCTAGATTGGAAAACTCATACCTTTTAAAAACAGTTTCTTACGTCAGTTTAACACGTAGGCTTTCGCGACCAATATTATTCATAATAAAAGTTTTTGGGTTAGATCGCGTTTATTTAAGTTTGTTAAGTTTGTTGTCCTTCCCCCCCCCCCACACCTCCAATTAGCACGTATTGTGCGAAAGAAGTTCAACGTGCATACGTTGCATTGCTCCCCGGCCTTGTCTAGAACATCAACTCGGAAGGGGGCACGGGGGGGGCCTCGCCGCCGTTGACGCGTACCACGTTGGAGCCCTTGCGTGTCCAGGCGAGGGTCAGCGGAGGGTTCCCCGACCAGGCGCACGTGAAGGTGGCGTCGGAGCCCCGGTCCACGGTCTGCGGCTGTGGCTCCGTCACGATCCGTGGCCCGACTGGCGGCGACGTCGCAACAGAGCCGGGCGTTAATCATGCAAAGTGAAGTCCGGCGGTGGGCGGGCGCAGCAAGCAGAGCTTGTTGGCGAGATGTGGTAACACATTTAAAAAAAAAAGTTACAACTGTCCTCCTGTGCAGGCGACGAGTGCAAACGTAGTAGTTTTTTTTTTTTTAGAATGATGTGATTTATTTTCTATCCGAGATCTCCCTCCATACCCCCCACTTTTCGGTTTGTATACAATTTGCAATTACTCTCATTAGAGGTCGTGGGCATTTCGTTGGAGTTGGCAGAGTGCCAATGGTAGCCCGTTAAAGGCTTATGCAATTTTTGCTGCACGTTCATGCGGCTTTCTGAGGGAGGCGGGGCTGGCTTGGTGGGGGGGGGGGGGTTGGAGGGCAGAAATGGTGGGGGGGGGGGATGGGGGGGGGTAAGCTGGCAGCAGGTGCCGGCCTGCCTGTGAGCGACGCCTGTGCGGGGACAAGAAGCAGCCTGATAACGCGATGATTGCCAAAGTGAAATGACACGCATTGAGCGCTGCGCCGCGAATGTCCCCGCGGACGCGCGAGACAAGTCGGCGGGAAGGAGTCACAGATTTTGTAAAGTGGCTTTACACCTGTGCTCGCGCTTCGGTGTAGTAAAAAATAAAATAATAAAATAAAGTCCAACACCGCGCGAGCGAGCGAGCGAGCGAGCGGGCGGGCAGCATCCAACTGAGATGCATCATCTTGAGATGTGAGCGGAGAGAGCCTGGAAGCAATCATTGCAAAACGGTGCTCACAGCACAACCTTATAATACCAGGAGGCAGAGCTGTGTGAAATTAGCTTTTATACACACTCATGAATAAAGGCAGCAAAGCGAGCCATCGCTACCTGACCTGACAGCCAACCTCGATGCTTTATACGGCTCACCGCACTACCCAGGTCACATGGACGCATGCCACGGCAGTGGCATTCAGGCCATATTTGCCACCTCATCTGATTATAAGTGACAGTCGAAGCAATTACAATATTCTCGTCTCCTGGAAATACATCTTGCCGCATGACTTTCCCCCTCAACTCATGCCCCACTTATCGCAACCCCATCCCCTCACCTCTCCATTCTTCCTCCGCGGTAGAATGTAAATTCCCCAACAAGGAGAAAGCTATTTTCCCGGTCTTATCGCCTTGAATGTTATTTTGTAGCCCCCCCCCCCCCACTCTCTTTCCTATTTTGAAATGTCTGTGCCTCAATTTACACGCCTGCCACGGCCTATAATTTCAGGCTGTGTAAATAGCACATAGCTACACCGGTGCACTTTGCCGGAAAACAATGCCGATGTGCCAACTGCCCTCCTCGGCATTCTGAAGACCCGGGAACGTATAATATTCTTTTATTTTCTGAACGAACAAAAAACACCGCACCGAGCTGCATGAAGTGCGAATGCATCTTTGATTCAAATCGAGACAATTATTCAACTTAAATGCTCGATTTTTCTGAACAAATCATGATTTTAGTATTCCTTTCACCTAAACCGGCAGCTGAGCTACGATCCCAGAAGCAACACATTACACACAACTGGTGGTGGTGTGCCAGTGGTGTGTGCTCAACACTAAAGCTGCCAGAACCGCTTCAAGTCTTCGCTCGGGTATTGGTATATTAGCATACTCATAACCAGTACACATAAAGTGCTGGGTTCTACTTTTACTCTACTCCCAGGTGTAATACTTCCCAAATCTATACAGAGAAATGCGAAGCAACTGCACGGACAATATTGCATAGCCATGCACTATAACATCGACGACCTGGCCCTTAACGCTGCCATGCAACGGCAAAAAATTATTTAGTCGGCAATTGCACCTCTCTATATATCAAGAGTGTCGAATCAAAGTATTGTCCATCATCAAATAATTCTAGTTAGACAGCTATGTGCGAGCTCGACCAATATAAAGATAAACACGCACTGCATAATGCGGGGATTTTCTCGTACGAGTCTCCACGTGCCCGGCCCTGGCGTTGGTGGAAGCATGTCATGCCGAAGTCCTAACTAATTGCCCACGTCTCAAGTGTGATCGCTGAAGAATCGCCATTGAAGACCACGCTCGTGGTTCTATCGGCCCGCACTCGATCCCTCACGTGACCCAAGCAGCCCTACGTTTATTTAATCGTGGACGCCTTGCATTATTTTTTTTGTACTGACACCGCATTAATTGCAAAAAAAGAGGAAGCGGTGAGTTATATCGAGCCATGGAAGCTTTCCACCTGCAGTTGGTGGAAGGGAAAACAAAACAAACTTATTGATCGCACGTAGGACCCTTCCCTTTAAACTTTACTGCCACTGTCCGCCCAGCTCCCCCATGCCTCATGATGGAAGCAAAGGGGCTGCGAGCTCCTGGATCCCGGCCAAACGCTCGGGGGGGGGGGGTGGGGGGGGGTGGCCGCGTGCGTTTGCTCACAGTAAACGTCGACCAGCGTGGTGACGTTGGTGCTCCCCACGACGTTGTGCACCTCGCACGACACCGGCTCGGTGAAGTAGGAATAGTCCACGGTCGTCTCGTACGTGTTCTCCGTCGTGCCTTCGATCAGTGCTCCCCCCTTGGCCCAGCTGCCCCAGGGAGCGGGAGAGGATGGGGACAGCGGGACGACGCAGGGAGGTTTTTTTTTCGTTTCGTCGTTGTGTGCGGCGGAGATTGCACGGCAGTGTAACCGATTCGCGCAGATCGAACGTGACTAGGGTTTTGGGAAAGGGTCCTGCAGAGAACTCCGCAACATTGTGCACGGGGATTGTGTCTCGTCTGTTTGTTTTTGCCTGTCCTTTATTTCCAGTGTTAACTTTGAAGACTGGAACAGTTCCAGGTCGGGAAATGACAGCGGAGCGCGGTGTCCTTATCGCAGCTTGCGCCTCTCTCTGTGTGTGTGGGGTGGGGGGGGGGAGCACTCATGCACACACCGAGGTCTGCATTGCACGGCTCGTGTCTTGCCGTGAAGCGGGAGGGCTCTGGCCCCAGTGATTGTGAACTTTCAACGTTGTCCTCGGGCTGGACTGATGCGCACGTGTGATCCAACTGTCCTTGCAGCGGGAGGGAGAAATTAAACACCCTTATTCCGATTGGAAGCAAGTGCCTAACTGGCGCCCTCCCTGCAACCCACCCCCCCCCCCCCGCCCCCCCCCCCCCCCGCCCCCCACCTGGTTGCCCTCTCCTCAGATATGACGTTGCCAAGGCAGTTAAAACAAACGAACAGCTTATTCACAAGTCACTCGCGTAAGCAGGAGCGGTGTGCAAAGTAAAAAAAAAAACGTGTAATATGCTGGCCCATTTTTCTGTTGAATGGGCGCTTGATTGCCTCTGCATGTGAGGACACCCGTAGCGGCGTGCGGCGGGTGCACCTGTGTGCATTTGCGTACCGGTATCCGGTGATGTCAGGGTTGGCGGTGGCGGAACACGTGAATTTCACGGTCTCTCCCTCCTGCACGGGCTGCGGGTGCACTGATAGCCTCACAGCGGGCGGGTCTGCGGGAAGAGCACAAAGTGGTGTTAAACTCGGCTTTTTCATTTGTTAACCTCGAAGCAAAAAAAAAAATATCAGCTTGCAGCCCGGGGTTGAAATAATTACCCACTGAGCCCTTCTCCTCCTCGCCTCCAATTTCAGTTCAATTCGTTAGCCTTCATTTATCGTGACTACCTCGACAGTTGACTTAATGAAGGCAGACCTGGGGACGTGAACCTTGTGTAGTGACTATTTTTTCACCAAAAAAAAGATTTCTCATTTGTGAATTGGGATACAACACAGGGATACAAACAGGCCCACTTCTCACAAATTATGACATAGGGTGGTTAAGAGCCGCTTTCTATAATCATCTTCCCATCAGGAAAGATAAGCCGTGAATTTCCACATTATTTCAACATTAAAGATGAAAGAAAAAAGGGCCGACAAGCAGTACCTGCCTTTGTCGAAATGTAATTAGATGTAATTAGGGCTGCATCAGAGCAAGGCCGGCAAATGCATATTTTATTGCAACGAAAGAGTTAGCGGCAGAAGAAAGATTCAGATTTTACGAGGAGCGCATGCTGGTTGCTTCGCAGTGAAGAGCCATGGAGGTAACGGAGGAATTCACAGCAATGCCATTCAAACGAAATTAGCAGAAGAAAGCATAGCGGTGGCAGGCGTGCGCATCGGTCAAAATGTACTCGCAAGCCATTTAATCGCACGGCCATGAGGATATATCTAATGGCTCTTGTTTCTTTAAGGGGATTTTTGTTCACACAGTCAATTGCAATTTAAGCTGAGCCATGTGGAGATCTGTTTTATTTCTTTATATATACACACACGATGTGGAGTCGTAAGTCGCGCGGAGACTTACAACCTTAACGATGAAAGAGTTTTTGGAGAGAGGGAGAGAGAAAGAGAGAGAGAGGGTGGGGGGGGAGGAAAAAAAACATTCGCCTGTTGAACAAAAGAGTCAGGAAGGGAGAATGAACTACGTCCGACCACCCCGGAGCCAGCCAACATGTAGCATACTCCAGTCACTTACACACCACAGCATTGCTTCACAGGAGAACATGCAGGGTGTTCAAGCGGAGGCGCAGTGGTGCAATGGGGAGCGAAACGCGCAATGAACACGGTGACTCACATTCAAGCCAAGGCTAATATCACCAACCCCACACTGGCGAGGTATGGTTCAACGCCTATCATGTCTGATATCGCGTGGTGAGGTCTGCACTTAGCAGTGGAATCACAAAGGTTCGATCCTAATTTGTTGCTCTATTTATGTCCTCGGCCACGTATAAGTTCGACCGTAGCAGTTATTCCAGGCGCGTAGTGCACCGAAGCCCCCCGTGTACTTTTAATCGAGATCACGTGCTGTCTACCGCGATGCAAAGGGTTCGCACAACTGGACTTGTGACCCAGAGATGACCGGTTCGGTTCCATCTCCCGCCGTGGCAGTTGAAACACGTGGGGCAAGTTCCTTACGTCTCCAACTCCCCCCCGCCCCCGCCACTGTCCACCCAGCACTACAAAGGGGGTATACACTCCAGTCAGTAGATCGGCAGGAGAGAGACAGAGAGTTCCCTGGAGCGGAGATCCTTTCGGCAGCAGTGGCGTGAGTGAGCTGATTGTGGCGTTGCACGTTTATTTCACCTCTCTCCAATTGTTATTCTCCACCGCCCCCGTCGCCTGCCCTGACACCCCACCCCGTTCTTACCACCTCTTCCTATTTGGACCCAAACAGCTTTTGTTTATTTGTCCGCATTGTGATCCCTCCATTTTCACCACGAACGCCGCTTCCGATCGCTAAAAACGGTGACCTTTTTTAAATTGATTCCGCGGCGTGAACGCCATGTCTTGAGACACGGCACGCTCAACCGCCGCACACATTTTTAATGAGTCTCCCGGCTGCTCTAGCAAAGAAAGCGTTTAATATTAAGAAGCAACTTCATTAGCCTTTCAAACCCTGTTAGCATACTTGGAGTGTTAATTTATAACCGATGGATGGGCCCCCCGAATGATGGCTTTGAACGTTCAAGCGTTGCGGTGTAGCAGGGAAGGACCGTGCATCTGTCACAGCCAGTCTGTGCAGAATGTGGACAGACTGTGCAAATGGTGTTTTTTTCCTCTCTCCCTGTTTTAATGAACAAGGCAATTAATTGCACCGTTATTTGGAAAGGACTGCCCACAATACTTTTTCGATTCCTCACTTTTAAACGTGTTCATTTAAGGAATTGGCCCAATTACGAATGCCGACTAGGCGGATACTATTTTTTGGTTATGTTTGCGTTTCTCGTTACATGGAATGTATAATTTAAAACGCAATGAAGTGGCATAATTATGGGGCAGTGTATGATTTTAATTAATGGCTGTTGTATGCATAGTACTTAGTCACGTTGCAAATGTTGCACTGGCACTTGGTGCTAATGAAGCCAACAGAACGCCTGTTCACATGCAGATGCTTTGACTTCAACACATGGTACCGGAGATAATTTTGCCGCGCCCACGTGGGAGTACTCGTAGACTCGGTGACACGCTCGCCCAGCAGTGCTCAAACAGGGATTCCTACACTCCTAATTTATGTAGTTAATAATGATAATAATGCCTGCTTGTCTGGTGCACGGTCGCTAAATGCTCGAAATGTGAGGTGGGGGGGAGCTGGATGGGGAGGGGGGCGGGGGGGGGGTTAATGCACGGGGGGTAATACGCGTGCGTGCGGGGTACCTACGCTGCACGTTGAGCCTCACGGAAGTCTGCTTCCCGTCGGGCGCTGCGGCGTTGGAAGCGCGGCAGGAAAATGTGCGGCCGATGTCGCCGTCGCTGGGCGTGATGAGCAGCTTGCTCATGGCGCTCTCTCGCTTGCCGTCATCCAGGATCATCTGTGGAAGAGCGGGCGCACGCACGTACGCGCGCATTCGAAGACAGGCCTCCATCCCAATCGGTCCACTGAAGCGCGGCGATGGCGTGGGAGGCACCAGTAATGCTCTGCTCTCTCCTTCGAGAGTGCCTACAATTGTGCTGTGACTGACAGCCCATATAGATGAAAAAGAGAGCGCTGAAGTGAGACTGATCCCACAGCTGCGATAAGTATTTTCACCCTGTGGTCTAACTCTGAATGGTAGAAAATGATCCATGGTCCAGAAACGTATTATTTTCCAAACATTCTTTGACCTACAGTATTGGGCCCCCAGTATACACTGGCAGGCAGCTGCATCACGTTTAAAGGCTGCAGCTGATCAATTCTGCTGATCCTCCCTCCAAAGGTGTGAGAATAATATTTGGCTCATTGTGAAACCAGTGCGTCATAACTTATCTGTCATGCAGTGCTGTAGTATTAACAAATGAACCTCGATTCGTATCGGCGCAGCCAAAGTGCACGCTAAATGGTACATTCAGTCAAGCGTTTATAGACTAAAAATGCACTCACATGGGGTGTGCACGTTTTTACGATGAAATTATACACAGCCCCGATTACACCAGCAAAGATTATCAGAAGGAACAAATATCCAGATGTCACCAAATCTCTCCCACCCACTCTTCCCACCACGCCTCGCATCGACCACCAGCCCTGCCCATCAAGTCCGCTATGCTGGTGCGTTAAAGGTGGATCATGACGCAGTCAGCCACACTGAAAATTGCAAATGTGCTTGAGTGCGATTTCCCGGGTCGTGTTTAAATCTACGCACGCCTCAATGCCCGCAAGTCGCATTGGCAATCTCGCCCACGTCTCTCGGTGGCACGGAAGATACGCGCTGACGGGGGGGGGGGGGGAGACGCTTAAATAATTGATGCGGGAGATTATTACCGCATATATTTTACCCACCCCTCCTCCCCTTCCCCCCATAACTTCCAGCCCCCCCGCCCCCACCCGTCCCCCACCCCCGTCTTCGGGGATGAGCGTAATGTTGAAATCGCTAAATAACGATTTGGATTTAGAGGCAACGATCTGCATCGCCCAGCATGTTTCCAAATTGACAATATTTCCGACGCCGCCGCTGCGGGAGGGAGATACTATGCGATAATTGCGTGTTGCGAGTAATAAACACAACCCGGCGTAACACGCCATAATTGGAAGGGGGAGAATATGGGAGCGAACACATATAGGTCATACATATGTATAAAGGGCATTGGAAATAAAAAAAAATAAAAACGGTTTTACTCCCGCCTTTTGTTCCCCCCCAGAGTAGTTTGCCTTTAACAGAGAGAAGAAAAGCAATTAAAAACACCGCATCGGTGCACACGCAAAAAAACACGAGGAATGTCGAACAAATGGTGCCTACATTTACATATATTTTTTTTATGCCAATGTCAAAGCACAACTGTACTGCCATGGTGTACCATCGGCAAGGACAGAAATAAACCCACCCTACGTTCATCAAAGGTCGCGCACTTACACTTCTGCGCGAGCCGAGTACACACGCGATTTTCAAATTGGATGTTAAAATTCACTAATTAGCATTCCCCCCTTCCGTACACATGAAGAGTCGCATTGCCGGGCTTCAGGCAATTAGCAAGAACCGATTTTCCTTCCTCCGTTGGGATTTTGCACAATAGGGGAATAAAGGACCTGCGGTTGCCGGAAGGGCAAGTGTCGGAAATGAAAGGAGGCTGCGAGCCTGGGCGAGGTTTGTCAACTATTGCATTGTTTGTATTTGCAGCTGCGTCGAGAGCCCCGCGCGAATCCTGCAATATGCTGCACTCGTATGCCCTGCAGTGGAGAAGCCTCTAACAAACAAGCGGGCACCGTCCCGCGGGCTACCCACGCCCCCACGCCCCAACCCCCGGTTGTGGAGGGGAGAGCGCGCGTCTGCATGATCCGCATCGCTCGGCGTGAGCGACTGTCGTCAGCCCCCACGCCAAAAAAAAATATCCTCCACGCGACCACTTTGGCGCTCCGCGGTTTCGCTTTACACGCCGGCGGCGAAGCGTCGCGTGGCGCGGTCGCGTAGAGAAGCGTCGCGCAGCACCCGTGGCTGGATGACGGGCACTCGCCCACCCCTACCACCGCCCCATCCTTTTGCTCCCCACCCCCCTCACCACTTCCCCCCCCACCCCACCCCCGACCCCATGGCTCGGGAAAATATTTCCTCATTAAACATGCGAGCGTTCCTTCAAAGTAACCAAGTTGAATCGGTATGAAACAAGCTATTTAAAATAAAACAGGGTTTGCTATCAACTATATATACGATGTTTACGGTGTGAAACTAATTTATTATTATTAGACTAATATTACTGCCCATTAATTAAAAGAAAACTATTTGAGTCTCTACTAATTCTGCACAGTACAACATAATTATTTGTCAGCTCTGACTGTATGTGTAGTGACATATAATGCGTCACTACGGCGCCTAGCGCCAGTTGCTGATAGAGAGTGGAACTGGGAGTGTAGTAGCCCTCTCTGCCAGCAGGGTATGCTATGTCATGGAACGGGTCCCTAGGGGGCATGGTCCTGGTGGCTGGCAGAGAAGGGGCATCTGAGGACGTAGCAGCTCGGTTGGCTGGCAAGGGCACGTGACAGAACAGGGTAAGGATGTGGGCCAAAGGTGACAGAAGGGACACGTGGTGTATGGCCCAGAATCTTCTGGTCGGTTCCAGAAGGGGGCGTGGCCGAGGGCGGAGCCAGGCCACGCTGGGGGGCATAAAATGGAGGTCCAGGGGTTCTATCGGGGCTGTCTGCTGGAATGGAACCCACCGTGCTACGTCTTCTCCTCCGTCTCCAGTTTTCGTGCTCGGAATCGTGGGTCAGACAGTGTGCCGACTGACCTGACCCGTTTATATAGTTACCCCGTGGTGGTTACCGGTTATGTAGTTATGTAGTTACCCCGTGTGTCTCTCAAGTGAACCCACTACATATGTATAAAAACACAAATCTTTCTGCATTGCGTGTGTGTGTGGCGTCATTAAATATTGACTTAAAGCTTTGGTGACTGCAGGAATTCATATTCTTGAGTCTTTCGGTAAAGTCACGTAGATACGTTCAAAGAAATAAAAAAAAATAACAAAAAAACTGTGACGTTTCGATCGCAACACAGGCAATCGTCTCCTGCTGACGATTGCTTGTGTTGCGATCGAAACGTCGCAGTTTTTTGTTATTTTTTGTTATTTTCTTTGAACGTATCTACGTGACTTCACCGAAAGACCCAAGAATATGTGGCGTCATTACCACAGGCAACACTTTTATTGCACCAGGCGATGTCACACGGGATGAAAGGTTAGAGGCCGGATTTTATCGACCGTCCCATGGAGAAGGGAGTGCCGTTGAACCAGCCTCGCGCTTCTTAAAATATAACGATTGGGCATGCCCGAAAAAGAAATTACGTTTTTATCCAAGACGACACGTTACTGGCCCGTCCATGAGTCTATTTTTTTGTTGTCACTAATGTGAAAGGTGTTTGGTCGTCATAATTGAGATGTTAAAAGACAGGAGAGCACTTGCTGCTGCCCCTGTCTCCCAAGCTAAATTAACTCCTAACACCGTTGGTGGTATGGTGTGACTTGCGTAAGGCAATGATGCTGGGCTTTTTTTAAGAGAATACGTATTGATGCAAAATATACCATTCTAGATCTAGGCCAATTTCGCACGTACTAAAAAATACATTATGAAGTGAAATCCAACTCGGCGTTTGAATAGCAGCACGTACATTACACTAAAATGTGCACCACTTATGAGGTTAAATGGAAAATGTCTGTTTATTGATGAACACATCAATAAACGGCTCAAGTACCACATTACATTATAATGTGCGATTTAATGTCAACATTTGCTGGCGAACAGCACATTTTTTAAAGCAGCCGAGCTGAACTCTACAATAATTACACATGTTTGATTGGTTTCGAGCACTAATAAATACGAAGTTAAAAAAAAATCCCGTTGGCTCCTACTAAGTCGAAAGATCACCAATGCAGGAAACACGGCGGAAATGGCGCATGATGAATTGCAGTGGCCGTGACTAATGTTCCGCTGGCTGGAGGCAGCTCGAGTGTTTCATAGTCTGGAATGAGAAGAGTCGTGTGTGCACCGGCTGGTACGCACGCAACACTCCCATGACGGCCGTTACACTTTTCCGCTTTGCACAAGGAGTTGTTCCATAAATCAACCGTTTGTCCAACGGTCTCGGCGATTGTGCTCTGCCGTCGGCAAGCCTTCACAAAAGACTCCCCCCCCCGCCCCGCCCCCACCGGTGCGTGACACATTGCATAGCAAGAGACGCGATTGCACTCGTGAATGAATAGAATAAATGTCACACAGGTAAGGGTATATAATTTCAGACGTTTGCAAAAGGCCGTAAGTAAAAAAAAAACTTACATTTGTTTTCATAATTAACCGTTGCTTTGAAACCAACCAAATATAATGTTGCAGACAATGTTAGCCGCTAAGTCTTTCTTCACGTTTACAACATTGTAAGTATAATAGCAGCGGTCTTTTTTTGTATGTATGAATGTGGTACTTAGCCAACCGTGCTAATTGTAGGTGCGGGGGAAGGACAACAAAAAAAACATAAAGCAGTTTTGAAGAAATTAGTTTTAAATCTAGATTTAAAAGTGCATAGCTCCAGTGGCTTCCTGATATTATAAGAGCATTCCAGACGGCTGCAGAAGTGCATCTGAAAGCGTGCAATACGGTTGCCGTCTTTGTTCGATGGTTGGCCAAAAGCCACTGCACGTGCTATAATAATAAATAATAATATAAAAAATCTCCAACAACTAGACTAAAATGTTTTGTGCGCAGAACTACACGATGCGCTTCACAGGTCCCAAAGAAGCCACCCACCCTCAAATCCTCAAACGAGCACTGCACAACCAGTACCGTGCCGACAGATTTATCTTGGAAGACTGTCCTCCGAGAGGTGCCACGTTAATAGGCCTGAATATCATCAAG